CGGTGCCCTGCGGCTTGTGGCAGTGTATTGGTTGTGTGGACCCCTCTGCAAGGGGTCTTCAGGAGGAACTTGTCCCTGGGGAGCTGGAGGGGCACAGAGCAAGGCAGCTGCCAGGGATGGCACAGAGAGTTGCCCAGGCTGAGCCTGCCCGTGGCCTGCACCCCAAGCCCGTGCTTATCCTTTGCCCAGGCAAACTCCTGTGCACAGCAGGGCAGCAGCTTGGCTTGGTGTGGGGCTGAGCACAGGGTCTGCAGCAAAGTCCATAGCTGGCGAGGGCCAGGCCCTCTCACACTCAGAGTCGGGGCCAGGTGAGCTAAAAGCTTTGGTCACGCTACCCAGGGGAGGCTGGCATGGGGGAGCTCGCCCAGCGATGGGACAAGGACTAGGGGCTGACGAGCAGAGCCCCGGGGAGCAGGCTGCAGGGGGTGGAGGGGACAGTCAGACAGATGGATGGACAAGCAGGGAGATGCTGTCCCATGGGCTGGCTCTGACCGAGACAGCAGGGGTGACACGGGTGACACCCTCACTGCTGAGCAGCTTGGGGACACGCAGCTGTGGCAATGCCTGGAGCCCCGCAACACCTGGGCACCCCTATCCTATCTCAATTGCTGTGCCGCGAGAGGCTGCCACAGCCCCCGTCGTCCCACCACAGCCCAAGAGGGCACAGCAACAAGCCCACCGCTGCTCCCCTCCAGATCGCCCCTGCACCCGGTTCAGTGCTGTCCTGCCGAGCGAGCCCTTTTGGGGTTGGGGGTTTTGCTCCTCCTGCCTTGCTTAGATCCCCCAGCCCCCTGCTCCACTAAGAGCAGCCATGGGCTGAGCCCCCAAGAGATGGGACCCCAGTCAGCCAGACCATCAGGCATTAGCGAGTGATACCAGTGAGGGGTGCAGAGTGGAGGGGTGCAGGGCCACAGATCCCCCAGCCCCCGGAGCCGGGGGAGCGGAGGATCAGTGCTCTCCCGGGAGGGGAGGGAGGTGTTTGTTAGTTAAAACCGGCTCGAGAGCCCTAAAGCGGCTGCGATGCGGATTGTGTGTGACACTAACGGAGATCACAGCTAGGAGGGGCCGGGCCCGGGCCCGGGCTCAGAACAGGAAAGCTTTCTTCTTCAGCTCGTTCCGCTTCCACAGCGCCAGCTTCCCAAACTCCTCGGGGGACATCTCGAAGACACGCAGGAAATCCTCGGGGGACAGGTGCCTCTGCGAGGGGGGCAGAGCAGGGGAGACATCTTTACCCCAGGTTCCATGGGCACGCGTGTCAACACGCGTGTGCATCTGCCTACAGGACTTGCTAATTAATCATGGCTCCCAAGGGGGACAAACCCTGTGCCTAAACCCATCTACACCCCCAGGGTGCTTGAACTGAAATGGTTGTAACCGAGCTGCTCACCCCATGTAGCCTCAGCAAGGACTCGTGTGTCAGGTTAAAACTGGAAGCAGTGACTGAGCTTTATAAAGGTGCAGGTTCAAATCAGGGTCTCCTGCGCAGATGCAGCCCCTGGGCCGGAAGCCTGGCTTCACTCTCTGCCATGTCCTTGCTCTCCCTCTCCACACCCAGTCCCCTATGGGGGTAAGCTCCATTCATACCTCGAGCCTGGTTCTGTCCACTCCTGGGGGCAGCTTCACACGGCCCCTGTTTGTCACCATCAGCATTTCGTAGGGGTAAATCTGAAAGCAAGACAGAAAAGGTTAGCTAGAAGGAAACGCTGCTCCCTGCCCTATCTTCCCCTGCATCGCCACTGCCCAGCCTGCCAGGGCACACATCCCATCATACCTCCCCAGTTCAGGTGGTTGGCGGCACATGCCACTGACGCGTGCCCCTCCTGCAACCACCAGCATGCTTTGCCCTGGGGTAAATCCACACCCCAGCCTGCAGGAGACATCTTCCTAAAGCATAAGGCTTTATGCAGCCAGTCCAGCCACTGGCAAGGGTGTGCATCATCTGACTCATGGCCCTGCAGCCATGGCCCTTACCTTTTGCTCCAGCATGCTGGGCAGGGAGTTCCCTCTGTCCATCCTCCCCCTCTGGCCATTCTGCAAAGAGCAAAGCCACAGGACTGGGGCGCAGAGCTTCTCATGCCAGAGCCCCTCTCCCCACCCCACCTTCATGGGACTTGAACAACAGCCGGGGCGACAGGCTTCCCTCCAGGCACTGGAGAGAGAAGTGCTCCAGCCTCATCCCTGCACCTCTGCAGTGTCTCGCTCTGCAACAGGGGGGCCTCCTTTGGGCCGATTTCCCTGTGGCCCACCCACCTGTTTCTGGGCTAACTGCCCAACTTCTCGCCTGCCATGCCTTGATGATAATTAATTAATTGTTGTTAATTAAAGCAGGAGGCTGCCCATTTCTTGCCCCGATGCCAGGGGGCACCATCTGCAGCTCCGTACCTCCCCCACACCACAGCCTATGCCTCACAGATGGCATCCAGCTGTTATCCACATCACCGGCCCTGCACTGGGCCCCAGAATCCTCCTGTCAGGACCCCTCCAATCAGACAGCCTACCCCGCCCTCATTCAGGCCATCTAGCTCCCCGAAACTATTTTCCCCTTTTGGGTGTGGTTCCCTCGGGACCTTTCGCCATACAGGCCCTGGCCTCACCTCCAAGGCCAGTCAGAAACTCCAGGCCCTCTTAGCTCTGGGCATCCCTCACGGTGGGCCCCTGGCCCTTTTGACCATCCTGGTCCTGGCCCCAGCATTGACCAGCCAAGGGTACTCTCTAGATCAGGTCCCTGAGCCTCTAGCCCCACTATCTCCTGGGGTCTGCCCTCTGGGCCGTACTAGCGGGTGACCCACCCAAAGGTGGGAGCAGGGGTTAAGGTGCCCTGACCCACCTTTCACTAGGGTGGTAATTGGCCTGGCATTTCCTGGGGGCTCCCGCGCCACTGAGAGCCCCAGCACAGCACCCACTCCTGGCAGGGTGCAGTTTTAGGTCATGCCGAGGACCGGGAGCCTCCTAGCCATCCCCTACAGCTCCTCCCTTACCTCCAGGATGTTATGGAGCCTCACAACCAGGCAATGTTGCTGCCTCTCCAGCCAGGCAGCAAAATGCCCTGTTTATATGGGCGGCCAGAGCTCTAAAATGGCCACCGCAATTAAGCACCTGCTGGCTGCTTGGCCCCAGGTCTTAAAGTGGCAGGCACCAACAGTGTCCTGCTGCACCCTCCCACAGCTCCGGGGCTCCCCGGACCCCCATCCCCGCTGTCGTGCCCCAGCCCCTGCCCTGCTGGCGCCCACCCCCACCAGCAGTTCCATTGGAGACCTGGCACCAGCTCTCTCCCTCGGGCACCCAGTGGGGCAGGAAGATGCTGGCCCTGCAGGGAAGGGAGAGGCACTCTCCCCTCCCTGGCCCAGGACACCCCACCTCTTGCTGTGTCTCCACTCCTGCAGTCAGGTGCGGGCTTACCTGCAGGCCTGTAAAACACAAAGGAACAAGGTACATGGCTGTCAACCCCACCTCCATCCCTGGCCAGGGAGCAATGCGGCCTGGTCCTCAATGGATGACAACTGGCACAGGCAGTGGCAGACTAAGCTTGTATATTATGCCTCACTGTACAGAGACATGCAAAGCTAGTGGGGCCTCTGTGACCCTTTCAACCCGGGGGGGAGGTCTCTGTGGAGATGGCCAGAAGGTGGGTACCACTGCCCCATGGATGTTACATGACGTGGGAACTGAGCGTGTCCACAAGGGACAGCAGTGCAGCAACAGGCTTGCGGCAAGCAGGAACCAGACCCCACTGGAGCCCAGGGGGCTGGGTGGAGTTCCCCTTGCTGCACATCTAGCCCTGGGGATTCATGACGAAGTGCCCCTGACAGCTGTGTTGCATGTGGAAGCTGGTCGGGAGTGGCCAGAGTGGGTACCAGCACTGCCCCTTGTCCTTGCAACCTTGCACTTCTCTTACCTGGGCTCCCCCTCTCACTGCCCACTGGGCTGAATTCGGCAGACTGCAGCTGCAAAAGGAGAAGGGATGGTGTCAGCAGTGACCCCAAAGGGTGACAGAGGCCTGGGTTCCCCCACCAGCAGGGCTCGGAGCCAGCTGCTCCCCCTGACTCTGGTCCTTTCCTCACTGGAAGCCTTCTGCCTGCCCCGTAGGCATACAGCCCATCCCCATGCGGGGCAGCACCCACCCAGCATGGGGCCAGGAAGGGGTTCCAGTTTGGAGCAGTTCAGCTTGGTGCCATCTGGAGAGGTGAGAAACCTCCCTTACCCTGGTGAGGGTGCTTCTCCCGGAGGCAGGAAGGGAGGAGGACTTGAAATTCCCCAAGTGCAGAGCTGAAAAAGAGAAAGAAATGCAGTCACCCCCATGCTGTTTGCAGGAGAAAGCACGGCAGGGGGCCGCGTTACCCAAGGGGATGAGCAACCGGGCTGGAATAGGGGAGCTCCCAGCTCTCTGCTGCCCCAGCCCTGGTAAGAGGTACTGTAAGGAGGTCCCAGCAGGCATCTCAATAGCATGGATCCCACCCCGGGGAGAGGCTTGGGGAGGGGGAGGGCAAATCTGGTCTGCGCCCGGCCCCACGCACAGGTGTGGAAGGGTGTTCGGTCTGGGAGCGAGCGGGTTTTCCTCCGGATGGGGAGAGACTTCTCCATCTCCTCCTTCAAAATCAGCTTCCCAAGGTTGGAGGTGACCTGAGGAGAGGGAGCATGTAGGTCAGGGATCAGTCTCTGCCAGGCCAGACCCCCTGCACCGTCCCCGAGCACCCCATGGCCCCAGCCTCTCCCTACCTTACTCAGCTCCTGCTTTTGGAGCTCGCGCAGGTTCTTCATCTCCTCCGTGAGGTCCTCGTCCTCTTCCTCACCCTTCTTGGAGGCCATCCGCCGTCTCCACTCTGTCTCTGGGGAGGCACAGTGAGAAGAGAAGAGCCAAGAAATCACTGATACGACCCTGTGTGCCATCCAGCTGGCAGGGGGAGTCAGGGAGGCAGTCGCCCCAGCTTCAGGGCTATCCAGTGTCTCAAGGGACCTGCTCCAGCCACACACAATCAGAGTCCCGGCGTTTTGGTCCCTCCATCCCCACAATGACAGTGTTTTAAGTCACTAGCACCCGTTTTGTTTCTCTTAGCAGGCTGCCATGCCCACATCAACCTGGCTTAGCTTGGGCATCAACCACCCTGCTGTCACCTACCTACGACTGCCAGGGAGGGAGGGCAGGGCCAGTAGTCCGTCTCGATTTTGGCCGGCTGGTTGGGGTCGGGGGGTTGGGCTGCTGGGAACTTGGAGGACTCGATGATCTGGTCTTCAATCATGTGCTTGCCATGCTGGGCTCCCGCCGGGTGCTCTGGAAGAGACCGGGAGGCAGGATGGAGGGTTGCCATCTCCATGGACGTGTGCCCCAAACCTCAAATGCAGAGCACCCAGCTGGGGCGCAGCCGTGCTCACCTTTCTGCTTGTAGATGGGGGGCTTCTTGTAGATGTTCAGCTCCATCTTGTCCATCTCTGGGGGAAGGGGCAGGTTCAGGGGCCAGGGGAAGACAGGGAGATACACATCACTGAAGGAAAGAGCCAAGGAGCAGGGGAGAGAGGCTCTCTCACTGCAGGCAGCTTTCCCCTTGCTGCATACTGGAGGGGTGGGGAGGAGAGGGCCTGGGGCTGAGTTCAGTTCTGGCTGTAATCCCGCCCGGCAGCGAGGCAGGGCAGCAGTGATTTGGGGTTTCTGCTTGGGCACAGACATCAGGGGATCACGGCCCCCGAGCCCACGGCAGAGTGTGGGGCATACCAGGCCGGTGGAAGTGGTGCACTCCAGCCCGGGCCATGCTGCTAGTCCGGCGACTAGCTGCCTGGGAGGCACTTCCTGGAGACTTGTTCTCCATCCAGTCCCGGATGACCTGAAAAAGGGGAGACCCAGTGTCAGAGGAGAGAGGTGGGAGGCTGTCCAGTCCACTGGCTCCCTGGGCCAGCCCCTTGATCCCAGGCTGGTGATAAGCAGCTGTGCAAGGGGCAGCGCCTGGCAGGACTCACCTCTGGAGAAGGAGGAGGAGAGATGGACTTGGGCGACAGGGACCGCTGCGGAGGGAAGCAGATGCCGACACTTAACTGCTGCAGCCTGCAGACATCGCTAGCATGCAACAACTTCCCCTATCTCAGCAGGAGCCAGGACCCCCCAGGAGCCAGATGGGAACTGCCCAACACCAGCTGAGTGGCTTGGCGTGGGGGGAGGACGCGGGGGCCCACCCCTACTTGAGATGCCCTCACCTCGCGGCTCCGGGGCAGCTCCACGTGCTCCATGAGGGAGTAGGTGAAGTGAGGCTCGTAAATCATGAGGTCGGGGCGCTCGATGTCCAGGATGGCCTTGTCCTTGGGGATGGCTGCCAGGTCCTTGTAGCCCAGCACCTCATTATCCATTCTGGCCTGCAAAGACGGACAGGCTCCGTCTCAGCCTGGGAGGCCCGAGCCTCTCCCAAGAGCCCCCCGTCCCTCCCTGAAGGGAACTGAACCCTCACAGCCTGCGGGGAAGCCGGTGCCCTCCTTCACGCTGCAAGGGGCAGTGACTTGCTCCAGGTCTGTGGTAGAGCCACCAACGGACTCCCTCGCAAACCACTGCACCGTACTGGCAAAGGGGGGCTGCACTTACCACGATGCTGGAGGGTGATCCTGGGACGCTGGACCCACGGGAGGAGCAGACGCTCCCCGGGGAGGTCAAGGGTTGCTGGAAAGAAGGAGGAGGCACGTGTGAATGCCACCTGCTCAAGCAGCATGGCCGGTAGAGCCGGAGGTGCCAGGAGGAGGAAGCCCAGCAACGACACCCCCCAGCAAGGCGCATCCAGGACAGCAATGCCAGGGGAAGCAGCTCTCGGCCAGGTCTTGCTGCACCCCGAATGCTAGTAGGGAGGGAAGCCCTGGGCACCAGGGCGCAAGGCAGCTTGGTCTGCTGGTGGCAGGGAGTGCCTTCCTGCACAAACCCGCCTCCCTCCGGAGCTGCTGGAAGTGGCCATATCCCCACCCGGCCCTGCTCTGATCCTGGCCGGGCTCCAGGCACGCAGGGAGGGAGGCGGGGGGAAGCGTCGCAGGCAACTCCCCTCCAGCACTAATCTTGCTCCATTAGATACCAAGCCTCAGGGTCAAGCCCCCCCGGGTCCAAAGGGCCCACAGCTCTCGGCCCCCCTCCCAGCAAGGTGAGGTCTCCGGGAGGAGCAACGCTGAGCCCAGCTTGCTGCAGTAACCACTAGGTGGTGCTGCCTGCCCAGACTCCAGCAAGCCGGGCAGGGATGCCCAGGGCAGAGGGAGCTGCACAGCCGGGTGGCAAAAGAGCGAGACAAGGAGCCAGCTCTGCTAGGGCCAGCCTGCCCTGCCCTGCCCCTCTGCCAATGCTGCCGAAGGCCCCCTCCGAGACAACACAACAGAGCGGGCAGTGCCAGCTCCTGCCCTCTGCCCTGCCTGGACCCACTGGTGCCAGCGCTGTGCTGCACACGCCTGGCATCCGCCAGCTGATGGCCCCGGGCCACTACTCCGCGCTGGGCTGGGCTTGCAATGGGGGGTGAGAGGCTCTTGCACCCAATGGCTGGACTCTCCAGCCCCTCCTTGCCCCTGCCTGCTCTCAAAGTGGGGCGCCTGGGGCAGGAGCACCTGTGGCAGCCCCTTTACCTTCTGTAGCCTTTCCATTCAGCTGGCTGCTGGAAGGCCGGGGTCATTCACAGCGTCCTGCGGGGAGAAGGCACCTCGGTTAGCCATGACTGACCCCAGGTGGATGCATGGAGCTGCCAGTGCCTGGCCCCTGAGCAGCGTACGGGCTGGGGGCTGGAGGGGGAAGGGGTGCTGGGATTGCAGGCTCCACAAGGTCCTCTCCAGCATCCCCTGCCCCAGGGACCGGCCCCAGAAAGGAGGGTGAAGAGGTCTCCACTGCCAAGTGTTTCTGCCTCCCAGGACTTTGCTGCCAGGCCAGGCTGCCTGCACTCAGGAGCCTGGCGCCAACGTGAAGCGAGGCATGCATGGCGGGTCTGAAATATTCATCGCCAGGCTCAGGGGGGGGGGGGG